CAGTCCCAGGCCTGCCTGGCAGGAGCCAGTCAGAAAGTGGGGGGCAGTTTGCCTTCTTCTTCCCTGGGCCCCAGCGTTGGAGGCCAGTGCCCTACTTTGAAGTGAGTCCTAGGCCCAGCCTCTTCTGCCACCTGGATTGGTCCCCTGTCCTCCCACCTGGCCGTCCCTGCACGCCACTCCAGGGAGCTGGGTCCCTAGGCAGGAGCTGGCCTGATGGGACTGGAAGCAGCTCCAGCCATCGTGCAGCTAAAGTCAGAAAGCTGAGGAGTAGGGCAGAGAGCAGGGCATCCTTGGACCCACGGGGACCCTTGGGCAGACGTCTTGTGCTGTGTCCTGACTCCTCCTGCCACCATGGGACGTCAAGCCGTGTTCATACTCACAGTGGACACAGTGACCGGTACCAGGCACCTTCTGTGAGCACTCCTCCCACAGAATCTTCTAGAAACTTCTCAACAGCCCCCCCAGTGAAGCAGATCTGTCATGGCCCCTGCTTTATATGAACCAAGGCTCTGAGGGGTTTAGCACTGGCCCCAAGCACATTTAGGGCCCACTGTCTGAAACCAGGGTGAGGCTCCTATTGGGCTGAAGTTCCCAGACCAAAGACCAGCACAGGTGCCCCTCACGTCCTCCTGCAGTCCTGACGACGGGAACCTCCCCCACCTTGCCCACGCCGTGGGCTCCCGTCCTGAGGTTGATTGTGACAAGACCTCATGAGCAATTACATCACTGTCCTGTCTGGTGCACCGATGAAACACCTGGCCAGCATCGCTTTGCCATGGGCCACCAGACTCCAGAGCACCATCTTGGCTTTGTGCCCAGCCTCAGCTGCCCGGGTCACATCCAGAAAGGCACAAGGACAGCACTGCAACCCTGGAAGGCACAGCCACCTCGGAGGTGGATGACTCAATGTGGGTCATTCTTCCTGACTTACCCAAGGGACACGGCTGCCCTTTATCTCGGGCACGGCATTCTTTGGGCCATCAGATCCCAGCCATAAACGGTGGCCTTTGGCACGGAAATGCTGTCACATAAGATTCGATTTGGTGTTCAGTTTGTTTACTCACTGAGCGTATTTTTAGCTCGCTTGCTGCCTTTTACCCCCGAACACAGTGACTTTCTTTTTCCATCTTCTGTTCAAACAGAAAGACACGGTGCTCACATGCGTGTCACTTGAACGCCGGGGTAACTTTAGAGCAGTGCCCAGGCCACCAAGGTCACGCTTCTGCCAGGAACACGGCAAGTCACGGCCCTTAAGGGCCCGGGGACAAATGACAGCACTGTTGTCTCACCCAGCCATGTGTGACCCCACACAGGACACTAAGGTGCGTTCCAGGGTGACCCCCAACATTGTGGGCAAATGGGGTGTTTCCAGCCCTGTGTTTCAGAGAAGGCTCCTGACTTCCTTCCAGTTCTGGAGTCCTTGGTCTTGTGTGTTGACAGCCACTCAGCACCTCCGTGCCTCAGTTTCCACTTTTGTAAAACGGAATTAAAAAAAAAAACCACTTATTCATAAACTTGTTCAGAGTTGCAAATCAAAAATATAAGTGCCCCACAAGGGGTCGGGTTTTGGTTGGGTTGTTCTCATTGTCAGTTCCTGCAATCGTGTGTCTGTCAGGGTCCAGGTGGAAGTAGATGACCCACTTGGAGGTGTGGCCAGCGAGGCAGGATAGACCAGGAAAACAGACAAGGGAAACAGTGGCCAGGAATTCAGAGATAAGCACAGTATTAATAAATGGCCTCATTGGAGGCATACGGGTTTCTGGGTGCCTGCCTGGCGCTCACGCCTGTAATCCCAGCTACTTGGGAGGCAGAGCTCAGGAGGATCATGGTTCAAAGCCAACACCTGCCAGGGAAGCATGAGGCCAGAATTCAAACCTCAGCACCACAAAAAACAAAAGGCATATGGGCACTCTTTGCTTTGCTTTAAACTTCACTCCCTCAACATTTAGTAATAAAGGAAAAAGAACAGCTCTCTTCCTCTGACCTCACCCGCTTGCCCAAAATAATCAGTGCACTCCGAGAGCAGAGCAAAGCTATCTCAAAGACACTTAGACTGTGAAAGAACACTCTTGGGAAAATGACTCCTCTGCGCACAAAAAGTGTCTACGAAGAAAAATACTTACAGCAAGGACAGACGCCTGTCCTGCAGGGAGTGCCTGGCAGGACCCAGACTTTGTTTAAGAGGTGTTCAGACATCTAGGTCACAGTGATTCAAATTTAATGAGTGGGCCAACCTTGGCCTCTTTGGGCCAATTGACAAGACACTGCAACAGCAAAAACAATTAAATACACCGGTGTCAGAACAAAGGGGAGAGGTCTTTCCTAAGGGGAATTTGAGCCAACCCCAACCTTTGAGTCACAATAAAAACCCCTGCTGTCAGAATACTTGCGGCGCCCACACCTGGGCTGTGTACCATCTTTCTATCTTTGCTTTGCTTTACCAATACACTTCTTGGTCTGTACCTCAATATGTCCTAAAATTAGTTTTTTTCAACTTTAGGAACTTGGTACCCAATGGTACCTGCTCCCTTTTGGAGACCTCCTAGAGCATCTCTGGTTCTGGTAACAGCCAGTGGAAGATGGGGCATAGCTTATCCTGAGGCCAGGCTGGAGGAATCCAGCCAGCAGGATAGGGCAGGGGAGGTATGGGCACAGGTATAGCAGAGGCCTTGCATGGAGCAGAGTACCCGCTGCCCCCAGGGCCCAGCAGGAAGGGGCCAGCCCCTCTCTCCATCGGAGCTCTGTCCTGCTGCTACCCCTTCCAGGGATGCCCCTAGCTGGGACCCAGAAGCCAGGAAGCTGGGAGACACCATAGTGTCGTGAGACGAAGTGAGTTGGGGATGGGGCTGGCTGGCCCCAGAGGGGCAGGTGGAGACCAGTGAGTCTCCAGACATCCCTTTAGTGGCAGGAACACCATCCCACCTGGACACACCTGTCAGCTGTACCCAGGTTCTGCAGCCAGACAGGCTTTGTCTGGACACAGTGGGCAAATGGTTCCTGGGGGGGTCTGGCCCCTTCCTTCCTCATCAGGCCTATGTGATGTGCTAGGTCATTGGCCCGGGAAGGAAGCCAGGCTGCAGCAGAGGTGGACAGCCTCTGTGACCTTCCTAAGCAGGGTTCCGTGTGCGCTGGGTCAATAACTCCAGCGGCAAGCATGTGACAGCAGGTGGCAGGCACTGCAGTCCAACCAAAGCAGCCAACGGCCTTGGGGACAGTTCCCAAAGAAGACAAGCTGCGGTAAAACCACTGCACCCCGTCTCCTGGGGACCCCAGCTCTCAAGAGCCAGAGCACTGACCACCTGTCTGCCTGTGTCCCTCCTTGATGCCAAATGACAGCCAGGAGTCGGGTCCCGGAAACTCTTGCTGTCTGTCTGCGGAGATGTGCTCGTCTGGCAGGATTAGATGGTCCTTGCCTTACACTCTGATCACCAACGGGTGCTTTAGGTCATCGAATCTGGGTATAAATTGAATATTCACAAAATGAAGAACAATCCCCCTAAGATTTTTCATTTCAGGAATGTAAAGAACTGCTTTGGAGCCAGATTCTAGGACACTCTCCACCCAACCCAAGGCCATCTTACCTGGAGCAGGGGCCCCATCCGGGCTGTGGTCCTCACCCTCAGCGTCCAGGACCCACAGAAACGCTACAGCTCTCTGCCCTACACGTGCTAAGTTGTGCCACCTTTGCTATCATTTTCAGGGTCAGGAGACCCCAGGTGTTGACCCTATGTCCGGTGTGGGGCGGGCAGGGAACCCACAGCAGAGCCTCATGGGAATCAGGACACCTTCCTCTACCCTTGCCCCCACCCTCAGCAGACTCAAGTCCTGGGGTCAAACCTCCTAAACATTAGCTGACTGCCCTCCTGTCCCCAGTCCCAAAGTCAGTATCACCTGTCATCTGGATGATTAAAAGTCCCCTAACTAGTTCCCCTGTCCCGACTCTATTCCAAACCTGTCATTTTCCTGGAAGGTAGAGAGACTGAAGAACACACCCTATCAATCCTGACCCTTTCTACCACAGAGCCTGCAGGCGGGCTTTGTCACCTCCAGAGGTGACGGACCCCCTGGGAAGTGGCTCTGCCCACCTGCTTCCACAGCAGCAAGTGCCGGGACATCTGACCAAAGCCTGCAGGTGCTGACCAGACTCCCTCTAATCACCTCCAGGCTTCCTCATGTTCTCTGCCCCTTGGGGCTCCAGAACACACAGTGACCAATCTTTGGCCACCACCCTCAAATGCTCACCTGGCCAACCATCACTTGGGGCTTACCTTGAGTAAGTAAGTACTTAAGTGTCACTTCAATTGCTCATCTTTGCTTCTCTGTCAGTGACACGGGCACCTGGGGCTGTCCCCTCAGCCTTCCTCTTGTCTGCTTGACTTACTGCATTGTGTCGTACACTCCTCTCTGGATCCTTTCTTTTCGTGGTGACCTGCTGATGTGTGCTCTGTCCTTCTCCTCCTCCTCCTCCTTCTCCTTCTTCTTCATGGTACTGGGGGTTGAACTCAGGGCCTCAAACGCACCCTACCACTTGAGCCACACTCCCAGCCCTTTTTGACTTAGTTTGCTTTTGAGATAGGGTCTTTTGCTCTGGCCAGCCTCAAACTATGATCCTCCTACCTCCACCTCCTAAGTAACTGGTATTACAGGTAGGCACCACCAGGCCCAACTACTGTATATCTTTTAATGAGCCTCTGTTCTTTCTCTTTTTCTTTTCTGGGTTGCTAGGGATGGAACCCATGGCCTCGAGAGTGCAAGGCAAGCATTGTGCCACTGAACCATCACCAGCCCCTGGGCACTCATTCTTGCTAAATGAGCCTCCTCCTTTTTTGTTTGCACTGATTTTCTGTTAACAACTTTATTAGAGTACAACTCACACACAATGACATGACGAGCACACAACACTTAGAATGTACCCTCTGACCCTGCCTTGTCTGTGCAGCCATCAGCACCAGGGACAAACCCAACACCCCCCAAATTTTTCCCATGCTCCTTTTATATGGTGGTGGTGCTGGGGTTTGAACTCAGGACTTCATGCTTGCTGGGCAGGCGCTCTACCACTTGAGCCACGCCACCAGCCTCCCTTGCTTCTTTATCGTCTTTCCCTCAAAGTCCCCCCCAGGCCCACTTGTCAACTGCTGATGTGGCATCTGTCACTGCAGACTCCTGCTGTGGTTTCCATGTGGTTTGTCCTGCAGAAGCTCACATGTCGGAGACTTGGTCCCCGGTGTGGTGACATTGGGAGGTGGCAGGAAGCTGTCAGCTCATTGGGAGCATTGCCCTTGAAGGGATTAAAGCAATTTTCCAGGCTGGCGGAATGGCTCACATGGTTGAGCACCTGCCTAGCAAGTGCAAGGCCCTAAGTTCAATCCCCAGTACCGCCCAAAAATAAAATAAAGCAGCTCTCCTGGCATCCTGGTTGGTTCTCAGCAGAGGTTGTTTTAAAAGAGTGAGATTGCCAGACCTGCCTCTCTCTGGCTCCCTGTCCATCTCACACGTGTTGCAGCCACAATGTCTTCCACCGTGTATGCACCCAGAGGACACGCAAGCCAGTGCCAGCCCCATGCCTCTGAACCTCCAGTACTGTGAGCTAAATAATACAGAGTCCCCAGCCTCAGGTGAATAAAGTAAGGCAAAAGCCACCATTCAGTTACAAAAGATGGCAACTCTGCCTTGCTTTTCTTGGACCCTTCCCCTTCACTGAGGAGGTAAAGTCACCATGTTGGAAGCCGCCCTATGGTGAGGCCATGAGCAAGGAACCAAGGACCAGCCTTTCCTTTCCAGCCAGCGAGGATCTGTGACCTCCCAGAAGCTACCTGCAAGCGCTCAGACTGGTCCTCCCAAGAGTCTTGAGGCGACCACAGCCCCAGCTGTGTCCTGATGGTATGTGAGATGTCAAGGCTGCTCCTTACCCAGCAGCAGAGGACAAATGCAGCCATTCCCTCCTGTCTTCTGGGTCCCCCCCTTCCTACAGCTCTTGGAACATCGGGGAGCTGTCAGTCACAGTTCCAGTGGCCTTCGCGGCTCGGCTCGTTCTATCATCTGCAGCCTCCTCCTCTGCGGGCTGGCGTTTCTGGCTGGGTACCAGAGGTTGTGAATTCTGTGTTGCTCGGTGCTGGATGTCTTTTAATTCCTGTAGATACTCTGGAGTTTCGCTCTGGGGCAGAGTTAACTCACCTGCTTGTGGTTAGTGATCATTTGGGGTCTTGTTTTTGGACCTGCATTTGCTGTCACCCCAGGAGAGTGAAAGAGGTGGCCTGGGTCTCTCACCCTGCTGTGCCAAAAGGTGTTAATGACCCCTCAGGCCAGGACAGCCTGGACCTGTTAAGGGCACCCAGAAGCCACACCACAGGCCTCTTGTGGTCCGTGGAGCACTTGATCTGTGGCCAGTCCGAAATGAGATGTGCTGTGAAGGTAAGATACACTCATCTTGATGATTTGGCATGACAAGAAGCATGAAAAATACCTCACAATTACTTTTTAGATGTTGTTTGTACATTGGGTTAAATAAAATATGTTACTAAAATTCACTTCAACTCTTTTTATTTTCTCATTGTAGAAAAATTTTCAAATTGCTTGTGAGGCAAGCCCTGGGTAAGGACAGTTTGCAGAGTCCCCTGTACCCATCCGAGCAAATGTCACCCTATGTCATCCAACCTGGGTCTCGTCCACCCTGCCCCCACTCCACTCCATAACCACGACAGGCCACAGTGACCACTGAGAGCCGGGACCAAACTGGAGGCCAGATCACAGGTGTCTGTGAGGGCAGGACAAGCTCCCAGCTAGTCAGCTGGGGTCAGCAACCAGCAGCTTATGTCCCCAGTCACTACCGGGGTGATGGTAACCACTGCTGAGTCACAGGAACAAGACATCTCTGGGTCAAACTACAAGGGAGTGACTTCCCCATGGTTGCTTTCCCTGTCCCACAGTCTGGTTCATGAGTCACCTGCTGGTCACCTTCTGAGTAACCCAGACTTCGGGACTGCCACCCACGTCCAAGGTCCCTCTACTGTCAGAAAAAAACAGGTATGTGGGATGGGGGGGTTCATTTACAATACTTGAAAAACATAGCCACAAGAAAGAACAAGGTAAAAAGTACCATTGTCTGTAGTCCCTGCAGGAAACATGTTTATTTCTAGTCTTGGTTTGTTTGTTTTTTTGTGGTCCCAGGGTTTGAATTCAGGGTCTCACACTTACTAAGCAGGCGCTCTACCACTTGAGCCACTCCCCCAGCCCTTTTTGCTCTGATTATTTTTGAGATAGGGTCTCACATTTATGCCAGGACCACCCTGGCCCTCCATCCTCCTATTTAAGCTTCCCACTTAGCTGAGATGACAGGCACACCACACTACAGCCAGCTCTTATGGACCCCAGACTGCAATCCTCCTGACCTTTTCCTCACCACTAGCTAGGATTGCAGGCACGAGCCACAGCACCCGTTCGTTTTTGTTTTCCTTTTTTGAGACTGGGTTTTCCCATGTAGCTCAGGCTGGCTTCAAACTCCCTTTGCAGTCCAGATTGGTCTTGAACTCAAGATCCTCCTGCCTCCCCTTCCAGGTGCTGGGATTCTAGACATAAGCCACACACTCTGCCTCTTCTTTTCATGTCTGAAGCAGCAGGACGCCACACGTGCTGCTCTCCACTTGCTCTTCTGGGAGGCATAGACCATGGTGTGCCACAAGGCTCTACCCTGCCTCCTACCCCCACCCTGTCACTCCTGGGGACCGGCGAGAGGCCGAAGCAGGCAGGCTTCTTGGAGGGCAGCACGGTCACATCTATCTCCGCGGGCCTGGGGATTTACCCCACAAACCTCCATCTCCCAAACACGCACAAAAGCGGAGGTACCTGGGTACGGCTGAAGGCTTTGGGTGAACTTAGCTCACGACAAGGTGTGTGACAAGTGTCCCAGGAGAAGGAGAAAGTGAGTGGGAGCAGACGCAGGGACGCCTCAGGAAGAGCACGGATGCCACGCGTCCCAGCCGCACGTCCCCAGGACGGCGGAGCGTGTGGACAGGGGCAGCCGTAATACTTCCCGTTGCCAGAGCAGCTGCTGACCGGTCTCAGCCGGAGGGACAGGGACGCCTCCTGCAGTGCGCGATTGTCTAACCACAGTGGACAGGCTAACTTTCATTCAAGGACAACTAAAGCCACCTCTGAAGACAGGCCAAGGAAAAGGGCTTAGCTTCACGGAGCAAATAGGGCTGGTGGCCCAGAGCCATGGAGACCCCCAACACCTCCTTGGGGTTTGGGAACTTCAAGCCGGCAGACTGCCAAGCTGCAGCATTGCTGTGCCCCAGGGGACCTCCAGGGGGAGCTCCTGCAGCTGGGCCCAGGGGACCCCACCCAGCGCCAGGGAAGGGATTGAGTGCCAGGAAGGGAGAGGCAGGAAATGCGAGGGTCAATGCTCAGGGGATCCCCAGACTTGGAGAAAGGCGGGGAACAATGCCGGCTCCACCCTATTTTAATGAAGGGCCTGGACCATTCAATTGCCCGCTGTGTAAAATGGCCACGGTGACCCCCACTGCTAGGACAGGAAGGAGGCCAGGAGCACGCAGCGCCAGGCTGTCCCTCCTGGAGCCACTGCCTGCTGGTGTTGTTAAAAACCCAACTCTGTCTAGAGTGGACTTTACCTCGCCATAGCCTCACCCTCTCTTGTCTGCCTCACCTTGAAAAAACACTGGAAGGAAGAAATGCCTGGCGTGGACACCCACCGGTGTCACAGCTGCTGGCTCAGGGCCTCACGCCAGCCCCCAGGGATCCAAGCCTGTAGGGATGGAAGGGGCCAGGCCACCGCTGCCTGCGGGGAACCTGGGGGTGCTGAGGCACTCTGGTTTGAGAACCACCCCCAGGCTGTAAGCTCAAACCACTAAGTGTCCCTGGCACATGATAGTGACACCTCCAGGTCACACGGGTCACACTCCTTACTCAGGGCCAGGCTCCTGGGAGAGCAGAAGCAGCAGCCTCCCCCGCTCCGGGTTTCCACAGAGGCCTCCTCATTCTGGCTGGAGGTCTGTGTGCTCAGCATCCCAGAGTGCTGGCCCCTGTGTACCCCTGATTTTACAGGGGGACCTTGTCCCTCTCCAGGTTCCTGCACACAGCCCCCTCTCCCTTCCTGCCTCAGATTCTCATACATATGCCATCTTCCAGGTGTGCTAGGGATCGGGGTGCAGTCCTGACCTTGGGGTCAGTGAGGCTCCCCCCCTCCTGGGCTTTTCCAGAAAAAGCGCGTGGAGGTCACGCGCTCTCTGTCCCATGGACTCCGAGGTGGAGATGCCCCCCAGGAGCTTCCTGCGTTGTGCCTGGGAAGAGGCCGCCTGCAGAAACCAGACACGGAGAAGGGCAGAAGCCAGAGTCACAGAGCAAGCTGCAGGCCCGGATGGGATGGACGAGGTCTCTTCTTGCAACCCAGAAAAAAACAAACAAACAGCGAAGGCCACCCAGCCTGAACCTCAGGGCAGCGAGCACCAGTGCAGACCCCTGCCCAACGTCTCTGCTGTGGTCCCACCTCCCAGCCCCCCGGGGCATGGCTGGCTCAGCTCAGGCTCAGAGCACTTATCTCTCTCTTCCTCAAGCCTGGCAGGGCCTCAGCTCCACCCTGGGCCTGGCGCTGGACCACAGCTTATCTGATTGCCCAGGGCCTTATCTCTAGTCACTTTTCCCTGCCAGTCACTGGTTTATGCTTTTACAAGGGCAGGGTGCTTCTCCAAAGGTGCCTGGAGGTGGGGACAGTCACATTCCTTCCTTCCAAAGCCATGGCCCAGTGCCAGCCCTGACTCAGCAGCTGGGGCCCTATGGAAACCTCAGGGGTGGGCGGCAGAAGTAGAGGCCACAGTGAGGCAGGGGTGAGCCAGGGTCTTGGGGCCTTTGCAAGGGAGGTGACCAGAAGAGGACCTTTAGGAGGGATGACCCCAAGGAGCCCACTGTCCTTTTCTCACTACCCGCTGACAGGCCAGCACCAAGTATACCCAGGTTACAACAGCCCAGTCTGAGGTCCCACTGAGAGCCAGGCAAAGCCTAGGGCTGGAAGTCCAGGGTTGGTGGTAGATTCTCACTCTGGTCTCAACTGTCCTTTGAGC